AGGCCGCGGGGGTTTTCTGCCTCAGCCCGAGCGCCGGTGCAGGCTGCAGCCGGCCGCTGCGCTGCAAACGCCGCGCTCGGAGCGACCACGGCAATTGCTCTGTTCAGGGGTCTCATTAGGGCAGGCAGGAGCCTGTGGTTAAGCTCCAGTAAAACGAAATGTTAACACGAGGCGCGCTCCTTGGCTTGGCTGCTGGGAGACACCTGCCTCGGGACTGGCGAGCCTGGCTGCTCCTCTGCGGGGGGGTGGTGGTGGTGCCTTTTCCGCCAGCAGGAGCCTCTTTTCTGGTCGTTTACCTCGGTGGAATAAGCTGTGTTGGCAGAGGGGCGTTTTGGTGGTATAACCGTACCTGCTGCTTGTCCTAAGGAGGTGACATTAGCCCCTGCTCGTGCGTGGCGGAGCAAAGTGCGCCTTTGGGCCAGCCCCTGCCTCTGACGGGAGAGGCCTGGAGAAGGGCGTAAGGACAGCAAACGCGCATCTCTGACGGGCTCTCCCGGCGATACGTGGCTTGAAGGCTCCTGCAGCTGGAGACAGTCTTTTTAGCTTCCCCGTAGATGTTCCTGCTGTTAATTAGTTCAGTTACTCTTTGATCTTACAGATTGTTTTGGTATCCACAACCGCCTGGAGCCGTTTGTTGTGGTAGCAAATGATTCACTACGCTCACTCAGATGTGGTCCTGGGCTTTTCAAACGAAGTAGCTTGCTTGCTTGGTTTCAGAAATTACTTGGTCTCTAAATCTCGAAACGTAACTTTGTATTGACGATATTTTTGTGTTTGTTTGTTTTTTTTCTCTACTAAATTGTATTCCTTAGGCAACTTGTTGCAGCGCTGGAATGTTCCCATAAAACTGCAGATGAGCAGACAAGTGGCTAGCTCTGGTGTGCCCGGGGGCAAAGGCGATAGTTCTGTTTTTGTCCTTATTGTGGGCTTATCAACGTTAGGAGCGGGTGCCTATGTAAGTAGAAAGGTAGTTCATGGAAAGAAGCTGCAATACGTCTCTCCTGTCAACCACTTGCTGTATTTCAGCTAAATTTACTTATTTTTTTTTTTATCTTAGTAGCTATTTCTTCCTTCAGAAAACTTCAAGGGGAGCTAACTCAGCTGGCTGGAAATTAACTTCTTCTGATAATTTTTTTTTTTTAACTGTAATTTCAGTTACCTTTTAAGTTTCTTTCTAGTAAAGGCACTCTTTTTTACCATACTACGACCAACCACAGCTCTGTCTGCTGTCTGTGACAGTAGCATATAGTTCAGGGAGAGCTGGATGGCGTACGCATTTAATACCAAAGTAAATCATTCCTTGCCGAATCTCAATTCCGAACATCAGCGTTTCGCTTGTGCAAGTGTACCAAACCAAACTGGTGAGCGTACGTTTATGTCCTCCTCAAAAGATTCAAAAGGTTACAGCTTTTCAGCCCGATTTGGAGAGTAAATCATATCCCCTGGCAGCTGAAGGGTGGCAGCATGACCGAGGAGTGGAAGGCTCCTAAGTTCACATCACACAAAACTTAGTTTCAAAATTCTTTCTCTTGGAGGATCATATTCATTAAAAGTTCCGAGTCCTGATTTTCTCCTAATGAAACTCTTCGCGTGCAGAAAGCTCCTGGGAAATAAAAAAAATTCAAAACAGTGCATGGAGGAAAAGTCTTTTCCTGTTCCCTTTAAATATTCTTTACTGTGCCCTGCTGTACTTTTTTTGGTTTTTTTTTTTTTTTGACAGCCAAGGTAACTGAAATTACAGAGCACATTCTGCTTTTCCCGAAATCTGTTTAATCAAGAGTCCTTCTTAATATTCAGCTCTTT